GCTCATCAAGAGTCTATACAGATGCAAAGTAAGCATATTAAAATATAACCAACACCATATGTCATTACAGAAGTGCAAATTAAAACAGCAATGAGATACCACTATACATCTATAAGGATGGTCAAAATCCAAAACACTGAAAGCATCGAATACTGGCAAGGATTTGCAGCAACAGGAACTCTCATTCACTTCCTGTGGGAATGCAAAATGGTACAGCCACTTTGGAAGAGTTTGGCAGCTTCTCAGGAAACTAAGCATACTGTCATCATACAATCTATAAGCAGTCATACTCCTTAGTATTTACTCAAAGTGGGTGAAAATTTATGTCCACACAAAACCCTTCATATGGATGTTTATAGCATCTTTATTCATAACGGTCAAAAGTTAGAACCAAGAGGTCCTTTAATAGGTGAATGGTTAAATAAGCTATTGTACATCTAGACAATGATAAAAGGAAATGAGCTATCAACCCATAAAAAAGCAGGGAGGAAACTTGAATGCTTATTACTAAGTGAAAGAACTCAATTTCAAGTTTACATACTCTATGATTCAAACTATGTGACATTCTGGAGCAAGCAAAACTATGGAAACAGTAAAAAGATTGGTTGTTTCCAGCGTCTATGGAGTGAGAGGGACAAATAGGCAGAGCACAGAGGATTTTTACAGCAGTGAAATTATTCTATATAATACTATAATGGTGGAAACATGTCATTTTACATTTAGCTCAACCCATGAAATATGCCATATCAACAGTGAACTCTAATGTAAACTGTAGAATTTGGGTGATAATAATGTGTCAACGTAGGTTCATCACTTACAACAAATGTTCCATTGTGGTATGGGAGGTCAAAATGGGGGAGGTTATGTACATGGGGCAAGAAGACAGGCTATATGGGAACTAAATTTTCTACTTAGTCTTGCTGTGAATCTAAAACTGCTTTAAAAAATAAAGTTTATTGGCATGGTGGGTCATGCCTGTAATCCCAGCACTTTAGGAGGCCGAGGCAGGTGGATCACCTGAGGTCAGAAGTTCGAGACCAGTTTGGCCAACATGGTGAATCCCTGTCTCTTCTAAAAACTACAAAAATTAGCCGAGTGTGGTGGCAGGCGCTTGTAATCCCAGCTACTTGAGAGGCTGAGTCAGGAAAATCACTTGAATCTGAGAGGCGGAGGTTGCAGTGAGCAGAGATTGTGCCACTGCACTCCAACCTGGGGGACAGAGTGAAACTCTGTCTCAAAAAATAAAATAAAATAATAAAAATAAAGTTTGTTAATTTAAACAATAGAAATTTTGGTGGTAGAGGAAAGGAAGGAGAGGAAAGAGAAGAAAATTCAAACCCTGCACTGCTTATAGAAGATGCTAACATATACTGTCTAAAGAGTTTTTAAAAAAAAGTGTTACATATAAATGTAAGTACATATAAGAGCGCTACTTTAAAAAGTAAATCCCTGATTAAAAATATGTAACTCCCTAAAATTTAGAGTTACTGCATAACAAAGCAAAAATACAAGACTACATCATGAAAGAGTTTTGATTTTTTTAACTATAAAAACACAATCCAGACTCCAAGAATGGTAGACTAAGAACCTTCAAATATTCCCTTCTCCAAAAAGGTCAATGAGAAACATTAGGACAATCTTAAAAATTAATCAAAGTGCTCTGAAAATTAATCAAAGTCTTACAACCAACAAGAAACATGTCTGAATCTAAGTAAGAACTATGGGATTTCTGTTTCTTTTTAACTTTCTATTATCATCGTCCTCTCCCAGTTCTATGGGAGCCTTGATAACCAACAGCCTCCAAACCATGTTAGCTGTAAAAACTTGCAGACTAGAAGCCACTGGAGGTGGCGGAATGATTTTGGAACTCCCAGCAAAAGCCTCACCACAGAAAATTGTCACTCTTTGATCTATCTGGCAAGTTTCTGAAAATCTCTATTCTCAAGACGTCTTTATTTGACCTCATTCAGAGCTCACACTTTGTTAATATTCACCCACAGGGAATCTGTTGAAAACCACCAGTGGTGATTGCTTAACATAGTGGCTGCCTGAGACAGCATTACTAGTTGGAGCTAACAAGAGGCTGACCGACAAACTTCCAAGGAAAAGAGGGAATGAAATGTCCTTGGGAACCTTGAAAAGCTCTGACATATTACAGGTAATATAGTAGATTACGTACATGTATAAGGCTGTATGAACACCCAGGGAAGATCTTAAAAGGCTCCCTTCTCACACATCTTAAGGTTCTGTACACACAGGAAGTAAATGCTAATGGAGAGTTATAAACTGCCTGCCAAACATTGAAAACATACTTTAACATACACACAGAGCCTCCTTAGCAAAGGCTAGAAAACGCATGGTTTAAGGAAATTTGAGGAATGCTCTGTCCAGTCATTAACTGACCACTGAGCTAATCTAGAAGAAACTTTACTGGCTAAACATGACAAAGAATACAGACTTTACAGAATTAGCCTAGGAAAGTCACTAAACCAACAAACTGTAAAAGCAATGTATGCTGGAGAAAGGGGGAATCTGATTTCCAGATTTGCCACATTTTATGTTTTAAAATGTTCAGATTTCAGCAAAAAACCATGATATATGCAAAGAAAAAGGCAAGTATGGTTCATACACAGAAATAAAAAAAGTCATCAATAGAAATTGTCACTAAGAAAGCCAATACATTTGACTTACTAAACAAGATGTTAAATTAGCTATTATAAATGTTTAAAGAACTAAAGGTAACCATGTGTAAAGAATTAAAAGATAATCTGAGAATAATGTCTCATCAAATAAGAAATATCAATAAAGAGATAGAAAATATTATTATTATTTTACAAAAAAAATAAATAGCTACCCTGGAGCTGAAAATTACAAAAACTGAAATAAAAATGTACTAAAAGCACTCAATAATTGATTTTAACCAGAAGAAGAAAGAACTAGCAAACTTGAAGGTAGGTTGATTAAAATTTCCAGTTTAAGGAATGGAAAGAAAAAGAAAGAATAAAACAGAGTCTCAGAGCCTAAGGAACACCATCAGTGGGAGTTCAAAATGCACACAATGAGAGTCCAGAACGAGTCAGGACAGATGGGGTCAGAAAGAATATTTGAAGAAAATATGGTCAAAAAGTTCTGAAGTTTGATGAAAAAAACTACACATCCAAGAAATTCAATAAATTCCAAATATGATGAACTCAGTGTGATACTCATCTAGACAAACAGTTGAAAGACAAAGAGAGAATCTTGAAAGTAACAAGAGAAAAGTAACTAATAATATACCAGGGTTTCTCAATAAGATAACAACTGACTTCTCATTCTGAACCAGGGAAGCCAGAAAATAGTGGAATGACGTAGTCACAGTGCTTAAAACACAAAACAATATGAAATAATATAAGGAAATCAAGACCAAACCAATCTATTACATCATATAAAATAATAGGCCTGAAAAAACCTAATTTTAAAAGTATATTTTCACATTGGCCCACATAGCAAAACTCAACTCCATAATATTTAAAACAAATATACTTTAAAAAAGAAAAGACTCAAAAACATTGAAAATAAAAGATTTGGTAATAATATACCAAGCAAGTGGCAAGAAAAATAAAGTAGTGGTCATAATTTGAAATTCAAGTCCATTAAATGAACAACATTAAATGAACCAAAGAAGGGCTTTTATAATAGCAAACTCCATTTATATTCAGGGAAGATAAAACTAATAACAATGTCTACAGCCAATAACTAAGCAGCAACATTTAAAAAGCATAAATAAAAGAGATTTGTGGAGCAGTAGAAACACACAAACAGTAAGAAATCTTATTTATTCTTTCAGTTTGTGACAACTCTATAGACAAAAAATAAAGACATGAAAGACCAAAATAATATGAGAAGTAAGACATCTTTGAGTGATATGTACCAAGTTCTGTCCACTACAAAGAAAGATTAGGCCTTCTTTCTTATAACAGTCATAAAATATTGGGCCATAATAAAACTACAATAAATTCTAAAAGGTAGAGCTGTACCTAGAGCACACTTTACTTACAATACAATTAAACTAGATAGGAATAGCAAAAGTTGAATTCATGTCTCACATTAACACCAGGATAAATGCCAAATAAATGAAATATTTGATGTCAAACATGAAACTGTAAAAGAAATACTAGAGAATTCATTTAAACCTTGTAATGAGGAAGAATTTTAAAATTATGACTAAAAATATGCATGCCACAAAACATAAGTAATATATATTCAAACATAAAATAACATTTATGAAAAAAATATTTATGTCAAAAAGATGTAAGCAAATTCTAACGACAATTATAATATTGGAGAATAACACCATTGTGTTGCAAACAACAGCCTCTCTAATATATAAAGAGTTTTTAGAAGTTAATTAAAAAAAATTGACAGCTTAGTAGAAAAGTAGGGAAAAATATCAACAGACCACTCTTAAAAAAATCTAAATGGCCCTTAAACATATAAAATTTCCTGATGAATGAAGCAATAACATGGAAATTTAGAATAAGGAGGAAATTGGATGAACTAAAATTTGCAGTTCTAATTATAAAGAATAATACCAGGTTTCTTTATAAAAAATTAATACAGTTCTTGATGCACAGTAGATTTTCAATAAATACTTGAATAAATAATAGAAGTCAGGCCGGGCACTGTGGCTCAAGCCTATAATCCCAGCACTTTGGGAGGCCGAGGCAGGTGGATCACAAAGTCAAGAGATTGAGACCATCCTGGTCAACAAGGTGAAACCCCGTCTCTACTAAAAAAAAATACAAAAATTAGCTGGGCATGGTGGTGCGTGCCTATAGTCCCAGGTACTAGGGAGGCTAAGGCAGGAGAATTGCTTGAACCCCAGAGGTGGAGGTTGCAGTGAGCCAAGATCGTGCCATTGCACTCCAGTCTGGGTAACAACAGCAAAACTCTGTCTCAATAAATAAATAAATAAATAAATAATAGAAGTCCTTTTTATCCTCGTTGTTTTAGTCTTTTTAGTAACCTATGCCTTTCTCCATCAGTTAGCTCTTACGTAACAAACCAATCCAAAATTTAGCAGCACAAGCAATAAAGATATATTATTGTTTTTAGACAAACCATAACCAGCCTATAGTTTGTCTACGAAGTGCTGAAGATCTGAGCCAGGCTTAGCTAATCTTGGGTGAGCTCACTCAAGTTTCTGCCTTATTGGTTGGGACGACGGGATAACTAGGTCTCTCAGTATAGATCAGGCTTGTTCATATAGTAGCAGGAGAGTTCAAGAAAGTGGAAGTATGCAAGGTCTCTTGAGGCCTAGGCTCAGAACTGGCACCATCAACCATTACTTCTCTGCATTTTATAGGCCAAAGTATGTTACAGGACCAATTTTGATTATAGTAATGAAGAAATAAACTCCAAGTCTTAATGTGTGGAATATCCAATTCATATTCCAAAGGACAAGGATATTTTAAAAAGGTAAGATTTGGGAATATTTTTGTAATTGGTTTACCATACTTTCCACCAACGAACTTACAGAAGTGTAAGAAAAATTATAGTGTATCAAGAAAGGGGTACACAGAAATAGAATATTGGACAGATCCCAAAACAGCACATAGGCCTTGCATTTCTGATTGCCTTAAAAACAAAAGCAAACGTTAATTTCTTCCTTTCTTCCCTCTCTCTCTAATTAGTTCGTTCACTCTGTACTCTGACTTGTACCTTTCTATTCTATATTTTAATATTACCAGGTTCGCATATTCCTATCGAAACTCCTATGTTTCCTTCCTTTCTCTCCTTCAACTTCTTTAGCAATCTCTCATTCTTCTCACTTATGTGTTTACAGAAGTTAATTAATTTCGTAAGATCACCATTATTGCTGTTGTTGTTAACTGTTCATAAATCCATGTTTTCACATTTCGGGGGTAACTTCTTTCTGAGTCATTTATGTATATCTTATCAAGTGATAAAGTGCTGTGCCAGCGACATTTCTGACAGTGATGACCAAGCAACTGACATTTCATTCTTGGCACTTAAGAACTTTTCAAACACCTTTCTTATTCATTAGATCATTTCGTTTTTTTTTTTGACAAAAGTAATTATTTTAAAGTAAGTATTTATGCTTGGTTTGGCCTTTAGTTTGAGAACTTTGTGCATTTAGGTCAGTGTTTCTTAAATTTCAATAGAATGCAGCATTTAAAGGGAAAAGATTGTCATGAACCACTAATATAATAATTATATATTTAATAATAAGTAAAAGCAAGTTTTTAAAATTAAAATTTTTAATTGACCCATAATAATAGTATACATTTACAGAGTACAGAGTGATATTTTGATACATGTGTATACTGTGTAATAATCAAATCAGGGGAGTCAGCATATCCATCATTTTTTGTGGGTTGGAAACATTCAAAAACCTCTCTTTTAGCTATTTGAAAATATACCATAAGTTATTGTTAACTATAGTCACCCTACAGCGACATATAGCACTAGAACTTGTTCTTCCTCTCTAGCTGTTATTTTGTATTCTTTAACTAACTTCCTCCTATCCCTCCCTCCCTACTACCCTTCCCAGTCTCCAGTAACCACAGCTCTACTCTCCACTTCTATGAGCTCAACTCTTTTAGCTCCCACATGTGAATTAGAACATGTAGTACTTACTGTTCTGTGCCTGACTGATTTCACTTAACATAATGTCCTCCAAAGTCATCTATGTTGCTGCAAATAACTGAATTTCCTTCTTTTTTAGGGCTGAATGGTATTCTGTTGTATATATGTACTACATTTTCTTTATCCATTTATCCATTGATGGACACTTAGGTTGATTCCGTATCTTGGCTGTTGGGAATAGTACTGCAATAAACATAGAGGTGCAGATGCCCCTGTGATATACTGATTTCTCTTCCTTTGGATAAATACCCAGCAATGGGATTGCTGGATCAGATGGTACTTCTATTTTTAGTTTTTTGAAGCACCTCCCTACTGTTTTCCATAGTGGCTGTATACTACATTCCCATCAATGATGCATAAAAGTTCCCTTTCTCCACACCTTCCTCAGCATTTGTTATTTTTTAATAACCATTCTAGCTGGGGTGAGATGATGTCTCATTGTGATTTTGATTTTGAAAGCAGGCTCAGCTGCATTTAAATTTGTCAGATTTTGTGACATGATTGTAGCATAGCTTTGGAAATGATTTAGAAAAATAGTTTAGCCTTTCTCTTCATAAAGCTGTTCATAAACCCTGTGGTTTGACCTAATGATCAAAGACTCCCGTTGATCTGGATTTCAGATTGGGCAGGTGCTAAAAGGAAGAGCAGTGCTTCTGTCAGTATTCAGCTACTCTGCAGGTGCTAATTTTTCCTTCAAAACTGATTTTGAAATGAGAGTCATGGGTACATTTTGGCCTGGGGCAGGACAAGGAAGAATAGGCAAACATTCCTTCTTACTCCTTCCAACCTCTGCCATGCCCTTGTGTCTATACACATCTCTAACTGAAAACTGGCTGTTTGTGACAGCTGCTCACATTTGATCTTGAAGACTAAAGCTAGAGGATTCTATTAGGGATTCCATAAAATATTCCATTATTTGCCTGTATAACCTACAAAAAAATTTCTAGCAAGAGATCAGGATATTGTATTGCAGTGGAAAGAGCATTTGAGTAGGAATCAAAATCTTAAGTCATATTCTCAAACCTTTCATTGCTAATCTAGTCTGTGAGCTATTTTGTATACCTAGGCTGGCAACAAAAGTTTTGAGTGCCACTCTTGTAATTTGTGGGTACCAGAAAGAAATGGTCAATAGCCCCATCCCCTAGCTTTTAATGATTAGTGAAAATAGATAGAATGAAGTTATTTTACACTATTTGGTCCTTGTTCATAGGCCTAATTGCCTCATCAGTACCTCCCTATGGGAGCTTTGCTTGCCGGGGGGTTTTCAGCAGTCTGTGATGGGGCAGTCCTTTCCTACTCCTGGCCCAGAGAATTCAATCATACAACTAGAGAGAACCAACCTATTTTCATAAATTTGAAATATTGTAATTGGAAGTATTGTAAAACAAAGGTAAGCTCATTTTGTGTTGTAGATAAAAGAAAAAAATTAAAATGAAACGGTAATATTTTGATTATCAGTAACTTGTGTTTTCTGTACTTGCATTATACCATTAATGCCCAGGAAAAAAAAAAAGCAGGAAATAGTTTTTGTTGTTATTGTTACCTAACGGCGGGGGGTTGGGGAAGATCCTTAACTTGAAATTGCAAATATGATTACACCACTGGATTGTGCTACTTTGACTCCATCCTCCAAATAGACTGTGAGATGTGGGATGGCAGTCCCATTCCAGCAGACACCATAATCGTAGGATTGATTACACAATATGCCATTCTAAATGATTTTGAAACATAGGAAATACTATTTTGTCAGAGCAAAGAGAAGAAAATGAAAAACTTTTTGTAGGATAAAGTGAATAAATACAAGTGGCAGGTAGGAATTAAGATTACGCTTTTTCCTAAGTTTGGATGAGATGAATCGGGGACCTTTGTTTCAGCTCAGTGCCTGGCACAGAGTGGAAAATTAGTGAATGTATTTTTTTAATTAATAAAAATGATTGACATACTAATACATACTTGGCTTGAGGCTTAGCATACTCTTATCACTCTATTATATATATGTGAACTACTCAACTTTTTTCTCTTAATTTTAATCTTACTTTTTGTTTATAATCTTTTATAGATAAATTGATTCTCTTTTAAAAAGTAAATCATGAGATAAATAATGGAGAGGACCTAAGCCCATTTCCAAGCTCTGAAGAGTGAAAGAAATCTTTTATAGATAAACTGATTTTTTTAAGTAAATCATGAAATAAATAATGGAGAGAGAAGACCATTTTCAAGCACTGAGGAGTGAAAGAACTGGTAGGTAACAGGAAGGTCAAGGGTTCAAGGACAGACCCAGGCTGGCCTCATGGTGGATGTTGTCCAGGCACCCCTTCTTTTCCCCTTTGTCTCCTCTTTTTTCTCCTCTCTCGTGTGATTAGCCAAAAAAATGACTATTTTTATGCATACAAAGAGATTAATCATTTTTGTATTTAAAAAAATTTAACTGCAAGCTGAGCATATCTAAACACTGTTAAATCCATCTACATTTCAGCTGTTGAATACTGGCCACAACATAGCTTAGTAAGAAATGCAGGCTAGGGAAAACAGCTCAAGGGAGGGGAAGCAAAGGCATTTGCTATAACTAGCAGAGGGATGAGTGTGTGGGGAGTAGATCTGAAGCAGCCCTTGTCTAGGATTGTGAAAATGGGCAAGATGGGGGGCGGGGGGAGGTAAAGAGGAAATTTCACTTGGCGTCTGGCCATGGTTATTTAGAGTTCAATCACATTAGGCTTTTCAATCAGGGTGAGTAATTTCCCTGCAGAAATTAATATCTGTAAAGCCATCATAACTACTTGTCTGGCAGATAGACACTAGAGGAAGAGGGGCCAATCTTCTTCAAGAAGCTAAAAAAGACTTCTGTCACATTCACTTGCCTCAGAGTTCATGTTTGCAGGTTTCTGCCTGCCTACATTTATAACGCAGTGAAAAATAGAAGGTTTTAAGAAAATGAATAAAATAGTTTAAATGCAATCTTGCCTTTATTTAAATATTTACATTCAACCAAATAGTTGGCTTTGGTAATCTTTCCTTTCAGGAAAATAGTTGACAGCAAAAAAAAAAAAAAAAAAACAGCTTCTGGTCTCAACATGCTTATCTGTTCACTTTTGTCTTTCAGCCTGCAGTTTGCCCTGACACAATGAACTAGAACATAGAGGTTCAGAATATAAGAGATACTCTTGGAAAAAGGCAAGTATGAAAACTACTATTTATTTTCAAAGGTCAGATTGGGGTTACATACCTATTGTGTTTAGGAGAGACAAATTGATCAGTATGCAGAAGATACATTATTGTGTGAAATTCGTATTTCGCATATCAAACTCAAATATTGTTATTTCAAAGTTTGGTATTTTGATAGGTACAAGCTCTTTTCCTAAAAAGTTTTTTCTTTAAACAATGAAATTAACCTGATAATGACATCGATATCCTTTCAGATATATAATGTACATGTATAATGTGAGGAATTACCACCTACTTAACCGTAGTGGGATTCAGGTACTTTAGAGACCTTTACATATGGATTTTCTCTGCTCTATTTCCTTTTATTTATTAGAAGGTGCAAGCTTATTAATTAATCTGCCTCTTTCTCCTTGATGCCTTAGAGTTGCATTTTCAAAGGAAGGTTCAATTACCCTCTGCATCTGAATAATATGGACAATTGAATACAATGCAGATTTCTGGGCCCCAGCCTAGATCTTCTGAAGCCATTTCCAGAGTTGAAGCTCAGAATTTTGCATTCCCAATAAATCCACCAGGGGACATACACTAGAATTCCAGGATTCTTTCATAGTGGGAAAATGTATCTTCCAGGGAATAGCAGGTTTGACTTCAAAGTGGGGTATAGAAAGAATTCAGAACTTTCTACCCAAGGGAGTTCAGTGCTCCAGGTAGAGGTTTTGTAAACATATACACTTAAAATTGTATGTTTATAGTAGCATCTCATGGGAATTTAATCGTATTAGTAATTCATTGGCAGAATTGACTGGGTATTGTCAGATACATGCCTAATGTAAGAAATATATACTTTTCCTTACATAAAGCTTAAAAGTAACATAACATTACTTCATTGCATGAGTATCCACAAAGACCTGAGCTCCTGTGAATGTGCACCACATATTTTTCTTCACACATGGACATGCGGAACTCAGCAGCGTCCTCATCCTACGACTGTTAAATATAGTGCCTTGTATTTGACAACTAACAGACCTTGATGATAAAACTTAAGAAGCTTAATAGGGAACTTTGTAAACTTTGGTTAGACTATTCATATATAATTAAGTAAGTTTTTCATAAATGTCTACAAAGTCAGGAAATTTGATTTAGGTCATACAAAGAGACAAATATCAGCCCTGAGATGGTCTGCCACTTGCCTCCTCTGTGTCTACAGCAGGACTGGTGGTTCTCAGCCCCAGTTGCATATTATAATCCCCTATGGAATTAAAAAAGAAAACAAGCAAATAAACAAAAAACCTCATACCTAAGCCCCACCCTGAGAATTCTGATGTATTTAAATGGAGGTGGAAGAACAATGAGAACTGGAAAGGAATAACTTCAGTTCCAGCAAGTGAAGAGGGGTATGTTTTGAGAAAAAAAGTTGACATACAATGTATAGTAGCCAACTTATGCACCCAGTGCGTTCTGCTAGTGACAACTGTAGTCTCTGAACATCAATAGTAAAGGTGTAAGCTCATGATGATGAGGAGAGCTGTAAGGGAGCCGTCATTAAAGTAGAGACATCAACATTTTATGGAAGTACAAGGATGATTGATGTTTGTTAATGTGGAAGAGAAGAAGTTGAAGCCTGAGATGCAAGGGGAGAGGGTTGTAGGCAAAAAACAATCCCACTGGTCCTGCAAAGCACTGTAGCTCTTGGGATTACAGGGAGAGCAGAAAATGGGAGCAAAACAGGAGACAGAATATGGGGTTAATAAAAGTACCAAATATAGAACAGGCTACCCTGACATGGCCCTCTCCTCCCCTGTATGCAGCACTGGGGAAGCCAGGCATGAACTTCTATAGCAAACAAACAAAGAAGAAAGGTCTCTACTCATGGTATTAAGTGAACACTCTAAGGAGAACCAGACAACCAGGAAGGGCACTGGAGCAAATGCCCTCTGCGTAGTGTCGTTTTGAAGACCCCTAGTGTGAGAGTAGGCCCCATAACCACTCAACCCTTTGTGTGTCTTGCCAATTGGTAAACCCCACCCACCCTCACAGAGCTCACAGATGGACTCTTCTATGGCCTCCAGCTTCAATCGAAACAAACAAACAAACAATGTTTACCAAATGAGAAAATACTGCAAGAAATAAAGAGAAAGATCAAAATTAACAAGAAGAAAAAAGTGATTCTGGAGAAAACATAGTTAATTTAGAATTTAGAGAAAAATCCTTGTAATTAGAGAAATGAGAGATTTTATATCCAAATCAAAAGCAGACTGCTACAAAAAAAAGAGAGAAGAACATTAGAGAAACTATCTCTAGATACTTAAAAAATATTCTCTGAAATGAAAAGGAAAATGGAATCATTAGAGGAGATTGTTGAGTAAACCTAGAAGACAGATAAACATAAAAAAAATGAGAGAAAAGCTAAGATACCTACTAACATTTGTATTTATTTAAAATGCCGACATCCTATATTTAGGAATTTCAGAAAGAGAACAGAGAAAACAGAGGGAAGGAAATAAAAAGAAGAGATTTCTCAGAGTGGGAAGTAAATGTCCTTCTATTAAAAATAGCCCAATGGTCCTCAGTCCATTGACCATTAGAGCCCACTCTTACTGTCACTGTAATAGTGTTAAAAATTTCAGAATTGCAAAAAGAAAGTCATCCTAGTAGTTTCCAGGGGAGGAAACAGGACATCAACAACATAACTGTAAGTTTGGCATTCATCATTCATTCACCAATTTTGAAGACTAAAAGGTAATGAAGCAATATCTTCAAGGCTATGAGTGGAAATTATATTAATGTAGAATAATACTAAAAGCAGTCAAACTATCTGTCCAAAGGAGGACACACTTTTAAAACCTTAAAGGTCCCTGGAAGATACTTTCTGCTGCAACTTCTTAGCATATGTTGGAGGGTATGTTGTAGCATGATGAGAACATAAACCAAGAAAGAGGAAAACATGAGCTCTAGAAACGTGATACAGGAGAGGCCTGGGCAGCAAGCACAATAAAGAGAAATCAGAACAACTCCGAGGCAGGAATAACAGAAGGCTTTGGAGGAAAGATCTCAAGGGAAGAAAGAAGGAGATTTAATACGATTCTTGTATTAAAATAGTTTAGGAGATAGGAAGGCAGTCAATGTAAGAAAGAAGGAAAAGCATTTAGAAACTTTTAATGAAACAAACCAAGTAAGAAACTGAGTGTAACGATAGTACACCACTTGATGCTACAGTGAGACTTATTGCCATTAACATGTAAGTAGTGGTTAATGATTTTCAAATTGAATAGATAATGTAAGGAGTTCATATTATAAAATAATTAAGAATACAGGCTCTAAAAATCATACAGGCGGTGTGCATCCAGAAATTTACTTAATTTCTATGTTATCCGATTTCTTTTCTGTAACATGAGAATATAGTTATCTGTGTTATAGTCTTGTGAGGCTTAGAGGAGCTACTTTACACAAAGAATGTGGAATGGTGCTTGACACTTAGTAAGGCCTCAACAGGGGTCAGCGGAAACAAGAACAAACACAAGTATTTATTGACATAGAACAAAAATGAAATGTTATCAAATTTGGCAATGTAAATACAAATGACTAAAAGTGGGGAGGAATAGTGAATTGAAGTCAAGAGATAAGGTTTATAGTTAATAAAAACAAAAATAAAGGCAACCGAGAAACAAAAATTAGCAATATAAATGTGTAATGGAGCTAACTTATCATGCATCAGATGGAGAAGCTAATAATAGATTATGACCATAACCAGTAAATCAAAAACTAGCACATAAGATTATAATCTAAAGCTACAGAGGAACCTAGAAGAAATAAAGGTGGTTCTTTTTGAGCATCAAGGAAGGTAAAGGAGGAGTCAGAGTGGGAGGTGAGAGTGGGAGACTGTGGCTTTGCATTTTAAAACCTTTTGTAGTGTTTTATATTTTGATCACATACATGCATTACTTTTAGTAAAAAAGAAATATTTTTTACCCATGGAAATTTATTATGTGGTTAAAAATGTATTTCAAATAAAAAATACATATGTTTAACAAGAAATAAAATTAACACTAAGTTACCTGGAATTCTTGCTATGAATTTCAGGAAACTCAGAGAGTATGGAAAATATGAAAACTATGGAGAAGGAATGCCAGTTTCTGGCATTGACAAAATGTGACCATTTTAAAATAATTTAGTAATTGACTGTAAGAGACAGAGATAATGCTTACTTTTATTGATAAAATCAAGCAAAAATCACAGTGCATCTGAAAAAAAAGTGAGGTTTAATGCCGATCAGTTTTTACTTCTGTCACCTCTTAAAATTTTCAAGCTTAGTTTGGGGAGGTGTTCAACAACTAACTTTAAGCACTTTGGGGTAGATTTTGCTGTCCAGTTCCTTCTCCTGGTCTGTTTCCTTCCTGGCTGCTCTCTATGAATATTTTGGCATCATTAGAGTTCCTTTTCTATGTTCCCAAAGGATGAGCACATTGGTAGTCAGTCCCGGAAACTTGATCTTTATCCTGCATCTCTGTTGAAAAGCAACTAGAGATTGATCATGTGGATACTCTTTTTTAATTAACAACCCCCCATGACACGGGACGGGGGGGGTTGTTACCTATATAACAAACCTGCACATGTACCCCTGAAGTGAAAATAAGTAAAAAAAAAAAAATGTAGGATCAGGCATGATGGTTCAAGCCTGTAATCCCAGCATTTTGGGAGGCTGAGTTGGGAGAATTGCTTGAGCCCAGGAGTTTGAGACCAGCCTGGGCAGCATAGAGAGATCCCATCTCTACAAAAACTACAAAAAAAAAAAAAGCATCCAGGCATGGTGGCACATGCCTGTGGTTCCAGCTACTTGGGAGACTAAGGTGGGAGGATGACGTGAGTGCCACTACCCTAAAGTGGGTGACAGGGTAGACTCTGTCTCAAGAAAAGAAAAACGTGGAATACATACTTAAAATAGCAATGCTTGTTTGGGTAAATTTCATCAGTATTTCTCGATTTGGGCCTCACAGAACATCCACTTTTTAAATTTTAGCTGTTTGATTTCTTTTATTCTTTAGTCATAGTCTAAGACC